AGGGCCCATCACTTGTGGTCAGGAGTTCAGGACCCGCCTAACCAAAATGGTGAAACCTCGTCTCTACTAAAAATACAAAAATTAGGCTGGGCACGGTGGCTCACGTATGTAATCCCAGCACTCTGATAGGCAGAGGAGGGTGGATCACTTGAAGTTAGGAGTTCCAGACTATCCTGGCCAACATGGTGAAACCCCATCTCTACCAAAAATACAAAAATTAACTGGACATGGTGGTGCACGCCTGTAATCCCAGCTACTCAGACGGTTGAGGAAGGAGAATCACTTGAGCCCAGGAGGCAGAGGTTGCAGTGAGCCAAGACTGCACCATTGCACTCCAGCCTGCGTGACAGAGTGAGACTCCATCTCAAAAAAAAAAAAAAAAAAAAATTAGCTGGGTGTGGTGGCGCATGCCTGTGATCCCATATACTCAGGAGGCTGAGGGAGGAGAATCACTTGAACCCAGGAGGTGGAGGTTGCAGTGAACCGAGATGGCGCCACTGCACTTCAACCTGGGCAACAGGGTGAGACTCTGTATTCAAAAAAAAAAAAAAAAAAAAATCAATTGACTGTAAATGTGTGGAATTATTTCTGGGTTTTTCTGTTCTATGGCTCCATGTGTCTTTTTAAATGCCAATACCATATTGTTTTGATTATTATAACTTTGTAGTGTACTTTGAAGTCAGGTAGTATGATGCCTCTAGCTTTGTTCTTTTTGATCAAGATTGCTTTGGCTATTCATGGTCTTCTGTGGTTCCTTTTGAATCTTAGGATTATTTTTTCTATTTCCCTGAAAAACATCATTGGGATTTTTTAAGAGATGGTATCTCACTATATTGCCCAGATTGGACTCAAACTTCTGGGCTTAAGAGATCCTTCTACCTCAGTCTCCTGAATTTCTGGGAGTACAGGGACACTTTGATAAAGATTGTATTGAATCTGTAAACCATTTCAACTAGTATAGATAACCTTAATAATATTAATTCTTCCAATCTGTGAACATGGGATGTCTTTCCATTTGTATGTGTCCACTTCAATTTCTTTCATCAATGTTTTATAGTTTTCAGAATGCAGACCTTTCACCTTCTTGGTTAAACTTATTCCTAAGTTATTTCATTTTTCTTTCTGTAGCTATTATAAATGGGATTGCTTTCTTGATTTCTTTTTAACATAGTTGTTAGTGTATAGAAACACGATACATTTTTGTATGTTGATTTTACATACTGCAGCTTCGGTTAATTCATTCGTTAGTTCTAACAAGTTTTGGTGCAGTTTTTTAAGGTTTTCTATATACAGGATCACATCACGTGCAAACAAATACAATTTAATTTTTTCCTTTCCAAACCAAATGCCTTCTCTTTCTTACCTAATGGCTCTGGCTAGGACTTCTAGCTCTACCTTTTTGAAAGTCCCTCCTTTACCCATTGATCTGACATCTACTTTTGTCATTTAATAATATTCTATACTCATATGAATCTCTTGCTGGGATTTGTTCATTCTGTTCTATTCAACAATTTGTCTATTTCTGTACCAAAATTGTACTCTCTTAGTTGTACTCTCTTAGTTGCATTAAAAATTCCCATATCTGGTAGGGCTAGTCCTTCTCCGGAAGCATTATGGCTATTCGTGGCTCTTTACTCCTCCAGCTTTGATTTCATGTTTCATCTCTGTAATTATTTTCCTGCAAATAGTCTTAATCCCTTGCTCTCCCTCCATCATACTTATCTGACTAGACCTCAACTCCAGCCATTTAAATCCACATCCTCACCTATTCAGTTATTTCACTGAACGAATCTGAAGAAATACACATAACTCACTGATGTCACTTCATAAACACAGATTTCAAATGGGCTCTCAGAACTGCTCAACAACCCTATTTTCTTGTCAATGTATTTTCCTACCATTCTAGATTAGGAGGCAGTATAACATACGGGTCAAATATAAGATTCTAAAACCAGATTACCTGGGTTAAAAACTTAGTTCTACCACTTACTAAATATGTGAGCTTGGGCAAGTTAAATTCACCAAAGCCTCAGTTTTTGTATATCTATCCCTCAGTAAAATTCCTTATGAGAATAAAATGAGCTAATAAATATAAGCCAAAAATAGAATCTGGCACATAGTAAGTACTATCTAACGCTTGTATTGTTATCATTGATGATGATTTCACATCTTACCTTCTCTCCTCAAGCCTTTTTCTCCCACACTCTCTTCACTGATGGCCTTGCTTTTTATTTCATTGAAAAAATAAGTCAAAAGTGAAGTTCCACAACCTCCTATTATCAAATCTTCCAATTTACTTGCAGCTGTACCCGTCACTCTATTACTGTACATAAACTGTTATTGTTCCTACAGTTAACTCCTCCACTTGGGCACCCTTCTAGTCTACTTAAGGACTTGCTCCTGCAATTATTCCCTTTCTCTGCTGAAGAACCCATTTTTAATTTTCTCAACCTGATCAGCATACAAAAATGTCATAAAAGTTGTCATCTTAAAAATAAAACCCTCCAACTTCACATTTCCCTCCTAAAAGGGTCCCATTTCTCTGCACATAAAAAATGTCTTGCAAAAATTGTCTATAGCTGCTGTCTAGACTTCCTTCCCTCCCATATTCTCTTCACTCTGATCCCATCAGCCTTTCACTTTCAGTACTCCATGGAATCCCCATTTGACAAAGTGACCAGTAACCTCCACATTTTCAAGTCCAAAAGACAATTCTCAGTCCTCGTCTTATCTCTTTTCACACTTTCTCACTCCCTTCTTCACTTGGCTTTGAACAGAGTATAACATTGGCCACTGTTTCTTCATCTGTTTTGCTTCACCTGCCGTCTTTTCCGTACCACTAAACTTTGGTGTGCTCAGGACTCTAATCTTTCTCTGTTCTACCTACAGTCATCACCTAAGCTATCTCAATCAGAGCCATAGTTTTAATACTATTTACTCATTGATGACTCCTGAGCTTCATATCATATATCCAGCTGTCCACTCCACATCCCTGGATGTTTGGCAGCTCAAACTTAACATACCAAACCAGAACTCTTCATTTCCTCCTTTGAAATTTGCTCCTCTCCTAGTATTTCCCACTTGAGAACTCACCCAACTCACAACTCTACAACTCACCCAAGTGCTGAGGTAAAAAATCATAGGGGTGTAATTAACTCCTCTCCCACATCCTGCAGTCCTGAGCAAATTCTGTTCATTCTACCACCAAGCAGTGTATCTGACCCAACCACTTTTTACCACCTCCACTGAGGATCCAAGCTATCACCATCTCTCCTCTGAACTATTGCAATACCTTCCGAAGGGGCCTCCCAGATTCATGTCTTTTTCTCCTCTCAACAGCCAGAGTAATCCCATAAAAATATAAATCTTGGCCGGGCGCGGTGGCTCACGTCTGTAATCCCAGCACTTTGGGAGGCCGAGGCGGGTGGATCACGAGGTCAGGAGTTCGAGACCATCCTGGCTAACATGGTGAAACCCCGTCTCTACTAAAATTACAAAAAAAATTTAGCCGGGCGTGGTG